ATTAACATCCACCTCACTTTTACAGGGAGTTTTACAGTTTATATGGACACTGCAATGTAAATAGAGCAGAAAAACAGAAGAAAAGGAAAAAAGAAAAAAAAGAGAAAAGATGAAAGAAAGAGGAGATAGAAAGGAGATAATGACAAAACATTTTCAGTCTGCTTCATCACCTGTAATGAGATGAAAAAAGAACATCACAACCGAAAGACATGGTACGAGACATACAATAAAGCAACACCTTTTAACTATCGCTAAAGTAATATTATTAAGTCTGACATGTACTCTGTGTTACCTGAAGATATGAATGTGGGGTTTCTGTGTGCTGTGGGTTTTGACTTCAGTCTTTGTTGACCTTTTGCAACTTTAAATGACAAAAATCTCTCGTGAAATTTTAGATATTTTGATTCCCTCCTCTACCTAGTTTTTCTTTATAACAACTTTGATTATCCTGCACAATATACAATCTTTGTTCAAAAGGGAATATGGTGAAGTGAATCATCTAAGCTGAACACGATACTCTTAAAACTAAATTGCAAAAGGAGATTTTGAAGAAAATACAATGGAAACTATGGTTGATGGGAAAAAAAACTCAGCCTCAACAAAGACTGTGGAGTGGTTTGTAACTAGGTGAGGTCAGTGACAGATGATATTCCGAGAGCTTTTTGTGAAGTTTACCCAAGTTATTTTTCAATTTGATACAAGGGCAGCAAGATGTAGGGCAACATTGTAAAAGTGAGTCACAAAAGAAACGCACAGCTGAAAAGACACGTCTGAATCACACTGCCACTGATAAGCATCCTAGAAGGAGATCCTCTCAAGGAGAGAGACAGCGCAGTTTTGTTGTTGTTGTTGTTGTTTTTAACGACGGCATGTCCCTCTCCTACCTTAAATGCAGCCCTCATAACCATTTCAGCCTTTTGGTGGATATATAGCCCCAGACCATTTACTAATCTCATTTACAATTTGTTATGTATTGTGGAAAAACAAACAGAAATGACTGTAATTAGACATGGTGTAATGCATGCATCTTTTAATCCAGAATTTTTTAAAGCCATGATGTGATGTTGTACGTAGGTACTTCAGCAGATTAATATTATGAAGGAGTTCATGTTGTAACCTGGTGACGTCTGTTTGTGTCAGCCTAGGTTCTGTCATTGTGACCAAGGGTGGCTATGGCTATCTAGCTTGCCACCATCAGTGTGTTAATGTGTAATTGAATGGGTGAATGATCGAATGTAGTGTAAAGCGATTTTGAGTCCTGTGGCTTGAAGTTCTTTATTAGTACAGGTCATTCATGGTGCAATGATGATGCTAATTTACCACCAATAATAACAATTACTCTGGTTGTAAAGTTCAGCTTATCTAAATGTTTTTATTCATTTTTAATGTTTGTTATAGATTATTTTAAAGTCAAAGAAAACATTTCCTCTCCTTTGCTTTAGGATTCTGTTAACCTGGTTTGAAATTTTACTAGTATTGGATGTAAGCAGGTGTTCGGCATTAATTGATTGATCACAGACAAAGGAAAGACCCAAAGCAATGATTCAGTAATAGCGTTCCAAAACGGGAAGGGCTTGCTGAAGTCAAAGGCTATAGGCTGAGTTATAGTTGCAAGCCTGAACAGGCGCTGAGCCATTTATTCTCGATGCTCCCGTTGCCTCAGTATTCCCAAAAAATACAGGGGACAATTCATTACAAAACCAGAACACTACATTATAAGTTATTTTTTTAAGTAACGTTTCCAAGATGGAAAAAGAACTGGAAAAATCCCAATCAAAACTAATTGCCAATCTAAACTTGAATATACACAGACAAAGAGAGATTCCCTCTTTAATGAAATATATTGTTTATTTTTAACTGTCAATTTGATGATGTTGAAAAAAATGATTATCTTGTTTTCCCTTTATTGTAAATAACAGGTTTCTTGATGGAAATGTCTTGGAGATCAATAAAGAGTTCCAACCATATCTGGGTGAGGGTGGCCGTATCCTTGAGATCCGCTCGCCTGATGTCGTGGCCAGCGTGAAGAAGGCTGCCCAGGCCGTGGGCTATACAGAGGGAGCACTGCTGGCCTTGGCCATTATCATCATCCTGTGCTGCATTCCTGCCATCCTAATTGTCATGGTTACCTACAAACAGTTAGTGTCCTATTCTCTAGCTACAACTACTAATATGAATACTGAATTATTAGTTATTAACAGCCTTTCAGGAATTCAAGTAGGAAATTTATTACAGCGCAGGCATTTAACTATGTTGACAGATACTATTTTGAACTATTAGCCAAAGGGTTGCCTAATGTAGATAACCCAAATATTTATAATGCACTTTAAACTTTTTATTTTACACTCTACAGCCTTTAGGCTGATGGAGAAAAGCAAAGAAAAAAAAAAAGGAAAACTTTACTGAAAGATATCTTGAGAAGTGATAATAAAGGGGAAGCACCTTTTGCATCAATTCTACCTCAAGCTCTTTTGCTCTCTCTGATTATGAACTTCTCATCAGACATGCTGACTGCACACTCTGCTGGGCTAATCTGCTGCTCATGCTCTGTGAAAGCTGATTAATTAACACCCATTTGTGACAAACATCTACAGACAATTGTTACTGTCTCGGCGCATCTTTCCACTACTTAATCAACTTTACACAAAATAGTCGCTGCTCCCATTTTTTTAGGGTCCATGTTTTTCTTAGTGGTGCTGAAATATGTTATTGCATGAAGTTTTCTTGATTTTCTATAAAACAACATTCACACCACTGAAGAACAGACTTATTTTTGTAAAGCATATATATATATATGTATTTTTTTTTTTTCTCTGTGTATCAGCTGATATGCTTTAGAGGTTTGCATCTGGCAAATGCTCTTCAGGGCAGATGGCTGGATTGGTTGTCCACCTTCAAATGAACGCAGAGAATATATTTGAAAGCTGTTGATGGTGGCATTAGAGCTGAAAGGCAAACTGTCATAGCAGATGGCACTTTGTAGGTTATCACATCACAATGTAATTTTCTCATTGATGTTTGTCAACCTAATTTGATGTTGCATAGATCTGGAAACAACAATAACACTTGCAACATCAATTTGCTCACTCATGTGGAATAATTGAATTTTGTTGTTAATAAGCAGTATGAAGCATTTAAGCTTCACCTCAAACAGTGAGCATCAGCTGGGAGCCCTGAAGTCTAACAGGGAAAGCTACTGGTTTATGAATAAAAATAACAGTTCGTTAAATGTATTTTATTTGTTGACTTTTTTGTCTTGTTTTTAATTTGAAATCTTGGGATATGTTATACATCACACCTTTATGTTCATTATTTTGAAAGCAGATTTATAATTCTATATATTAACTGTATTTTTGTCTTTCTGTGTCCTATTTTTTTTATCTTCTTTTTTCTGCATCATCAAACCTTTCAACAGGTTCAAAGAGTAAGTAATTTATTTATCTGCCTTTTGCATTCCCGTTTATATTTGTCCCTGTGTCACAACCAAAATGGTTTGCCCATTAATGCCACCATTCTGTAATGTTGCTGACATGATACACAGCAGCACTGACTCAACTTGTGGATTAGAGGCCGAATGGGTAATTTTGCGGAACATCTCCTCTGGTGTGGAAAATACAGTCATACTCAAATAAAAAAATTAAGCTGAATCCAACAAACCACATGTGCTTATTCTGTTGGAAACAGCTGATTTGGCACATTATTTATACTAATCTTCTCCGTATATATTAGTATGGACAAGATTTTCTACTAGAAGGTCAAGAATTAGTTTATCAATGTTGCTTTTTTGTGATCCAAAGCATTCTAGAATTTTTTGGGAGTTGTGTTCCTAAAATGAAAAGTTCCACTAAGCAATATTTTTTTTGGTGAAACTTAATCAAGGCTTGGAAAATAGTAAAAAGGTTTTCCACCACATGTGGATTGACACATCAAGTCATATTTAACAGCAAAAAGATGGAAATGCTGTAGCTTTTGGGCAAAGTAATAGTTATAAGAAATTTGACTTTTAACTGACCACATGTTTAACGCTTTTATATAGACTTATGTTTTTCCCAAGGGCAAATTATATTTCTTTTTGTTTGTTTGTTGTCTTTGTTTTTTTTTTCTTCTTAAAAAGAAGAATTATACTTGTTATTACCAAGTTAATTTATGCTGTATAATACACATTGGTCCAAAATTTCCTCATGGCCTTAAAAACAAAAAGTTTTACCTATCTTCACTAAACTTACAAAAATTCTATCTTAATTTTGTAAAATTTGGAGAAAAATAATTAGATTGTTTGTTTGCTTTTTCATTGTGTCAGCTTATGTCCTCATATTTCCCATGGCATCTTGAGTCACTTATAATGATTTGTGTAAATGTAAACACTTTGTGTAGGCGGCAAGCAGAGTGTGCCAAAACTGCCAGGATCCAGATGGCTTTACCACCAGGAGGGAAAGCAGCTCCAGCCGCTGCCCCCACTGCTAACCTCTATGAAGAACTAGGTGACAGCAGCATGTGAGTTATGTCCCTCTGGTGTCTGTCTTTTATCCCACACATCCCACCAACTGCAGTGGTGTGAAGGTACTTTATCTAACTGTGCAGGTTTACCTCTGCTGAGGTTTAGATCAGGGAAGTTGCTCTAAAATGAAGGCTTCTATTTTTTTTTTTCTTGGCTCCATCTTCCTGCTTTCTGCAACAGCAATTTTAGATTTTTAGTATTGGTGCATACTCCAGAATAATGTAATTGCTTATTTTAGATGTCGATCAGAAATATATGACACAATAAGATTTGCCTCATGCTTACAGAACTCCTGCTGTCCATCTTCTTTTGCGAGTCATAAACTTGATACATACAGCTACACCGTATGTAAAAGAATGTGGACATAAAAGAAAACACCTTATGAAAGTATTTCTAATATGACTGTTTATGCATTTTATGCTGTTTATGCAAAACACTCTCTTAAGGTAAGTTTCTAAAGTCATAAATTGCTATAGACCTCATTTTGATTAATACACACAACACTTTAAATACTTCCAGAGTACTATGCCATCAGCAAAATTGAATTTCCCACAGTTCTATGAAATACTAGAGTAAAATGGATTTAATATTTCCTGTCTGAGTTGAAATGTTTGCCCGCTTTTATAATAATTGTATTGCACAATTAAAATTTTCTGGCGGTAATGAAACTGCTTCTTTGATTAGAGGTTTTCAACAGTCAACATGGAGACGCGTTTCAGAAATTGCTTTTTCTTTGTTGCTTTTTTCATAATAAGATTTCAAAACAACTGTCCTATCCTTTATTTACTGTAGGTCTTTGTCAACCAAATCTCACTATAGATTGGGGCTATGCAGAGATGTGCTATATTCTTCCACATTTCCTTTATAACTGCCATTTCATCATCAACAACTCTCACATTTGTGTTTTCGTCTTCTTACCATCTGTCTGTTTTTGTATTCTCATCATTTCTTGTCTCTCTGGATTCAGACTGCAGTAAGTAATCCTCCCATGTGAGCTCTATGAATATGAATACTGTGAGTAATTACCACTTAACAGCAGCTCCCCCGTCTCTACTCTCGCCTATAGCTTTGGCTGAAGATATGCATGTTGAAGAAAATAAAAATCTGTTTTGGTGCAGAGGTTATCTTAATACTAGGCTTCTTCAGTTAACACCAAATGCGTTTATGCCAGAGTTAAATGAGCTTTGTGAAGGAGTGGTACTTTCAAGGGTAGGTTTTGTGAATTTTAGCTGTTTTTTTTTAGACTTACTGTTTTATTATTTATCTGTTGAGAAAAGCAAACTGCCCTTTTTAGATGTAGTGTACTTTTGAAGATATGCATCCTCTCTCCCAGCCAATTAAACTACTGTCCTGTTTTTTGTTGTTTCCCTTATTTTTATACACCCCTGTCTTGTGACAGATTATACAAATGCATATATATGGCTCTGTGCTTCATTAGCTATTTCAAGCAAACCCCACTATGTTTGAGTCTTAGCATTGCCTCCTTTTTTTAAGTCATCAAAACATGGTGCACTTTATAAATGTATTTAAAAATAAAAGCAGTATGAGATTAAGTGTGAAACACAGTGACTATCAAGTATACCTACCCACTTGAACATTTTTACATCTTCTAAAGTCATAATCGCAAACTCTGATGTATTTTATGGAATGGCAAAAGTGCAGCATGCATTTATTTTATGCAACATTCTCAATTACATCCCCATCAAATTCCAGTGCAACCAAGGAACTCCAGAGCTTCCCTAATTAGTAAATACAGTTCACCTTAGTGTCTTTTAACCCCAGTTCATCAATTTTTTATAAAAGAGTTTTGTTTACGAACAACAGTGAACAAAAAGCCTCATGGAGAACAAAGAGCAAGTTAAAAGTAGCATTTTGGGGAAAAAAAAGAACCTGTGCTTTGAAAATCTCACAGAGCACTGTTTTATTCATCAGCCAGGGGGCAAGGAGAAAATTAAACAGAGAAGCAGGCAAGGCGCTTTTGGTAACTCTGGAGAAGCCGCAGAGATAATAGCTTAGTTAGGTTGACAAGTTATAGTTTGATGATTTGGCCTGTAACAAAGAAAAGCAAGAAGTTGCTGAAGAATGCCAGGTTACTGACATCTCACAGCACCAGATCTCTCCTGTACAATGGTTGCTGCCTTGCAGAAGTGAAAAGAAAGCAGATTTAAAGCAGTGTAAAATATAACTCAATGAAGGACAGTTTAACTAATTAATTCAGATTGCTTGTTTCAGTTCTGGTTAGTATCAATTCTTGATTCCAATTCTTTTAAGATCCTACATGCTTTAAATTAGTGGCGTAAAGATCAGCATGCATTCTCATTTATTAAAAGAAAGAAATAAAGTTCACAATGTGACACATTATTGCAAGTCATTTGATTAATTTAGTGGGCCATGCACATTAATGGTGATGATGGTGACAATAATTATAGTAGTAATAATAATTCAATATTAATAACCACAACAATGATAATATAGTATAATGATGATAATAATAATAACACTCACTCACTTAAATACTCTAATTTTGTGAACTTTAGAATTGTTATAATAAACATGTTCATATTCACCTCCTTGATGGGCTTGTGATTTAACCCTCTTATTTATGTTTCCAAAATATATTTTAAACAGTCACTATATTAGGATGTTTTTTTGTCAAGTAAGATTTATCACAATATTTGACCTCTGTATTTCAAAATCCTTGTTACGGCCCTGATCATATTCTTAAGGTTTCCACCACAAACAAGGGAGTTTACAGTTTACAAATAAATGAAATGTTTTCGTTTAGATAACAACAGGCTGATTGACAGGCTAACCGAGCCAATGGATTACTAGCCTTTTTGGAGTTTGCTTTTTTATTACATTTGATCTCTATTTTTACTCAGTAACATCTATATCTCAAGTGTAATAAGTCATGGATAACATTTTATGATCAATCATAAAATCTAAATAAAATGCATTGAAGGTTGCACAAAATGAACAACAAAGTCAAGGGGTGTGGATATATTTGTAGAGCACTGTGTATGATTCATGCCTTCTTTGGAAGTATACTAAAAATATTTACGGTAGCATAAGTTTTCCAGTGTAAAATAATAGGACAATTTGCTTTTAAAATCTGTCACAATACAATTAAGCTTAGGTTGTATAGCACTGCATTATTATTTCCTATCATCCTTTCTTTGCTTCCTCACCCCTAAACCATTGTCCTTTACCTCTTTTAAGTTATCTTTCTTTTCACCTCCACCCTCTGCTGGGATAGGGCTAAAAAGTCTGCCACTGAGGAAGCCAAACATCAGAGGATTCTTAGCACCTTCAACTGTCGCACCATTGCAGCCTATAGTAACGGCAAGCTGCTCGTCGACCTGCCCAAATCAGAGAGCAACATAACTTACCTGTCTGATGGCAACCCACTCATAACGCATAACCCTGTGTATGATGACAGCAGCGCCCTGGGCAGTCCTGTTGTCTTTGCAAGACAGGAGAATCGAAATGAAAAGCTGTTTGCGTTTTCTCCCTCCAATTCACCAGGGTCAGGGTGTGCCTGGTCAATGCCTGCTCGCATTCACGGAGGGCTGCATGACTGCAATGTGTTGAGAAGGCAAGGCCTTATTGACAGAAATGAGTGGGAGCAGCAGCTTTTTCAAGCAAGCAAAAGAGACCAGCAGAATCCCCAGGGTTTGGATACACCATACCTGGGTGACAGCTCAGAGTCTAAGTTATCAGTCCGTGAGCAGGCCAGGCAGTTTGAGCAGCAGGTTTTTCAAGAAAATAAGCGAAACAGAGACTCTATCGGTTCCCTTTCTTCTATCCTTGTCAGAGATATGGACAGTGATGACACGCTAGAGCTGACCTCAGAAACTTTACTTTCCATCATGGACATACCTCACAGCCCCATGAGTGTGGGCAGAGATGAGCCCCCAAACTTTGTCATCACACAGACAAATGATTCATGGTCCCCATCCAACCAGAGACCAACTCCACCCATTCTGAGAAAGTTTAGCTCTGGCATCTCCAGCTACATGACAGTGCAGCCCTGTCAGATCACTGTTGAAATCATACCAGATCCACCAAACAATCCGCCACCGCTTCCTCCTCAGCATTCTCGACCACCATCCCCTCTCACATCTCCGCCACCATCTCCCCCCTCCAATTCACATTCCCCTCCCCACTTTGATACACCTCAGAGTATCCGTCCCTCTTCTCCTCCATTTAGAAAACCAGTTGCTCCCCCACCTCCGCCACCACTTCCTCCTCCCTCACCTGCTAGCAATCAGCCCCAGCCTGTTATCCAGTTTGTTCCAACAGCTTTACCGCCGTTATCCTCTCTTCGTCCTGTCTCAAAACGAAAACTTCCCCCTCCTCTTACCTCAGCAGAAAAGGATGTTGGAAAAAAGGAGTTAAAAGGGATCCTTAAGAACATCCAGAATCTGGCGGACATTGAACGATCTGTTGCCAACCTTTACAGCCAAGTAGACAAGAACAGCAAGGTGCCCAAGTTTAACAAGATGCCACAAGCGAGTGAGGAATCGGATGGTGCTTACAGATGGCAGAGTGCTGATCCAGGTGATGAGCAGAACTCGCCAAAACAGATTGACCCGAGCTGTGAGATTCCAAGTGATTCAACAAGTTCCAGCTGTGCTGAAAATGGAGCAAAGTTTCAGACGTCAAGCCAGTTGGACACAAACGGACCCGAATCTGCAGAACCTGTTGAACAGAACTTTTCTCAGTCCACAGTTTTCTGACTTTTGTTATTTCCATAACATCATTTCATGTCTGCATCTCTATGCCTGTCTTTTCTTGTTGTTTCTACTGTTCATTATGTGCAGTATCCAAATCATGTTTTTTTAAAGATTTAAATTAATTGTGACAGTTTTTTATAGGAAAAGGTTTTCTACTTAATTTTTGTGTGCAACTTTTAGCAAATTGCCAAGAAAACTTCAAAAAATTGTTACACTGCCTGTATAGTATGCTTTAATACTTTAATTATAACAAAAGTGTTCAAAGAGATTCATCTGTTGAAAGCTTTCTTTATTACAATGCTCTATATTATTCAGGCCTCTATTTGGCATTATTATGCTTATATAAACTGCGATTTTTTTAAACTTTAGAATATGACTTTATTTCATTAATTTAATACCAGTTACCCTAAAGATATGCCGAGCTGCAATATAGCTCATATATTCGGTATACACATCATATATTTGGTACAAGATGCAGTCTTGTCCCTAAAGGCGCTTGGAGTACATAATTATCTGCAGCTGCTTCAAAATACATACAGGGATGAGTGACTTTAAAATGCAAAGATGTGGAAATCTGAAATACGGGGTGTCTCAGGGGTAAGAATTCTAGACAAGATACACAAACAATGTGGTAATACATCTTCTTGTGTGAAAAGAAGTGCTCTTTGCACATTCCCTTAGAGATCCCATGCTCTCAGCTTGAAAAAGTAGCAACTATGATGTTAGCTTAATGAAAAAGGGTAATTAGAGAGCTTATCGATTGTTATTCAAGGCCATTGCCTTTGGAACTGTCAACAAGTGCTTCCCTCTGCCCCCAACCTTCTCTCATTTACTTACCATTTACTCTCCTCACAGTTGGCTTCATAATGATCTTAAATCATTTACCTCTTCTTTTAAATCTTTGTTTTCTATTTCCAACAGACACTACCAAATTCTTTGAACAGTTTTTATCCAGTTGTATTTTTGTCAATTCCTTTTTCTCTTTTTGTTTTATTGCAATCAGCTTCCTTCTGTCCTTTATTTTTATCCACTTTTTTGTTTTGTTTTAGTTTCATCTGCAATGCCCCAAGGCAAATAGACTTAGCATACCTCACATGCAGAAAAACATAATTTTTGATTCATTACATGTTACCCCTGATGGAAAAAGCACAGGCTGGCTAATTCTGTATTCTGTGCTCACTATATGGGGTAATCTCTTTTTTTAAGGGGCTATCGCCTCACATGCTGTGTCTGTCAAACCAAAAGTGAGGTGAACAGCAATAGATAGTATTTTAATATTCTGTATTTAAATCCCCTTTTATCCCTTTTCCTTTTGGTCCTATTTGATTATGTTTAACATTCTTCAAAATTTACTTAAAAAAATGGTTAATCGAAGTTGCATTTTGTGTGACAAGAAACCTCATGTTAACATGCTATCATGTATTTTATATATCAATATCAACCAGGTCAGAAATACTAAACATATAATTTTTCACAAAATGATCATACATTTTTTTTGTGTGTGTGTGTGTGTGTGTGTTTTTAACAGTTTTGAAAAATAAATACTCTAAAACTAAGCAATTACTTCTAGCTCAACTAAAGTCCTAAATATATAAAAGTAATAATAACAACAACAATACGAATGAGAAAAAAAAAAAAACTTTATCAAAAATACAATGGTCAATTTAATAGAAAACAATCAGTATGTTCTGGTGACATCACTACATCTCATTCAAAACTCTTTGAACAAGAAGGTGTGTCCAAACTTTTGGTCTGTACTGTATATCAAAAAGCCCGGGAGGCTGACCCGACCTACACAACACCGCCAAGGCAGACCTGGCCCAAATTTCGGTAAGGCCCAGTCATTAAACCTAAATAAATAACTATACCAATAACAATATAATCATTCTCTGAAAATTTCGTCAAAATCTTTCTGTAACCTTTTTGATTATTTTGAAAACAGACAGATAAACCACGCTACGTGAAAACATAACCTTGGAGGGGTGATAAGTATTTATATTTAAACTCCAAGGGACCATATTAGGCAAACCTTTAGAATTTTTCGTTTACCCAAAAGGCTAATCATTCATTCACATAGTGGATTTTCAGGAATATTTTTCCGAAACATTCCTGAAATTTAAAGAGTATGGTCCAAATAAAGTATGCAATGGGGGGGTTCTTCAAGATGATAGACAATAGTAGTTCAAATAAAAACTTGGTAGAAGCGAACTATCCAGAACATTGTGATACATTGTAAATATTGAAACAGAGCTGCTACAGCAGCAGAAGACCAGACACATTGCCTCTTTTATCAGACAAAAACAGGAACTGAGGCTGAAATTATTCCAGAAATCACACACTATTTACAGACTTGATAGACATTGCATTGTATGTGAGTCTCCTTTTTGGCTGCCGTGTACAGATGGGAGGGTAAGAACTTGGCATAAACACGGTGACAGCATGGATCGATCCTGCTTCGCATTAATGGTTCAGGCTGGTGATTGCACATTTCCAGAATCAGTATCCTTTTTGGTGCTGTTTGATGGTTGCATATGGCTTTAATTGTTTCAACAGATATAGAAACTCTGCTAGGTAATCTCTTTTGTCTATGTGTTTCAAACATTTTTGTTATTTGCTTTAAAATTGGGCTACTACATATAGTCATATATACCATTTCTACTTATAAAAATGTTTACTTTAAATGCAAAAGCTACCTGTTTGCAAATGTTGGATTTTTTTTTTCTTTTGTTTTCTTTATAAGAGGGTTCAGTTATATGAATATTTAGGTGTTGATTAACATTTTGAGATTTGTTTTAATTAAGTAAGAAATAATGAAATCAATAATTAAAAGAATGAACCTAACTTTTCTCAGTTTGTACTTTTAAAAAGAAGCAAACTAGAAACTAACTAAATTTATTATTATTTACTGTCATTTGTGAAGGCTATAGTACGCAGGCATATTAGGGCCATAAAGAAATATCATTTTTTTATTATAAAACAGAAGTTCAGGTTGTTAAGATTAAATTTGCAACATTAAAGAATAAAGCCGTAATACTTTAAAAAAAAAGCAGTGATATTATGAGAATCAAGTTCTAATATTACAAAAATAAAAAAGGGAACTATTGATGTTCTGGAAACTTATGTAACTTACGTTGTAAGTTATGGGAACTCACAAAAAAGAAGTCTTCACCTTTAAATGCTTGGCTATACTAGCTTTGTCTTCCTAACAATATGACTTTATTTCTGTTATACAATGTTTCAACATTATTCTCATAGTATCATATTTTAATGCTTTTAATTTCACAAAAATTTTTATAAAACCACATTATTCTTTTAATTTTAATGACTTTATTACATTCTTCTTGTAATATGACTTTGTTCTTGTAATATAAACAAAATTGTCTCAGTATAGTATACAGCACAGTATAATCCCATACTAATTTCAGATTTACTCTCTTAAATTGGCTTCTAGAGTCCTTTTTTCTGCTCTCTTTCTACTCACTTCTTTATTACTCGTCTTCCACCAAGTCTCTTTTTGTGCAGACTTCCTAAGGCTTTTCATGGGGTTATTTTTTCTTGATGTAGCATGAGACAGCAACGGGTAGCAGCCAAGCGAACAGGTCATCAATCAGATCCCATTCCCATCATCAGCAGTGCCTGGAAGGTGTGGCGTATGGCTGCGCCCTGCCCCAGCCCCATGGCCCCTACCCATAATAGATTACAGCTCTCCTGTGGAATCTCACATCATTGCTTGGCCATATATCCAAGAGCATGAAATTGATCATTATTTATGGGTCCAGACAAGTTGCATTGTTGTGATTGTGAACTTGTAGGCTTTTATAGATTTACTCATTTGTTCGCTATTTCTCAATGTCTTTTTTAATGTCACTGCAGATGAGCTCTTGTTCTCAAAAGTATCTAAAATATAATTATAGTTTATTGTCTCATTCGTTATTTAAGATCAACTTAAAATAATAACAGGTTTTGTTTGTGATATAAGACAGAGTCCATGATATCTATTGTTTTTGCCTATGGGAATATGATATGAAACTAAAAACTAGTATCTCTGAGCACAAATAATCTTATGACACGGTCTCTGTTATGTCTGCTTGCAGCTTTTCCCAGTTGGACTATTTGAAACACTGGCTCTCCTTTTACAATGTTCTTACTGCTTTGTTTTTTTCATTCTCTGAAGCTTTCTTTGTCTCCCTTTTAAATTGAGATAGTGAGTTTTTTAAAAAGCTTATCTCAGCATATCTTTGCAACCTTTTGAATACTGAACAATATCTGCAACACTCATGAAACAGATGAAAATGCACAGTAAGTTAAGTTGCAACTTCACTGTCCTAATAAACTAGCAATTTAGACTTAGAATTCCATATACTTAAAATTACTTAAATGTTGTGTTCACCCAATACTCATATGTATTATTTTCTTTTTTTCTGCACTGCTTAGGAGGCGTGCTCCTGGCAGACAGGTAAGGAATTTGTTATCATGATACTTAAGGTATAAACTGAATCCTAATGTTACTCCATGCAATTCATGTAATGATCTTGTTACTACATTTTTTTTTTATTTAAAAAATTAATTTAAAGTAGTACTTGTAATTTAAGTGTCTTGTGCCATAGTTTTTTGAGTGTGAAATAAGGCTTCTTGTTTTACAGAGTGTAAAGGATTTTTGATTGTATAAAGATAATTGAAAACCCAGTTAAACGTCTAGATTCAAAATGTGTAATATGTATTATTTTTTGTTACTTGGATAGAATATTTTTTATCAGAATAAGAGTCGTGTAGTCAAGATGTTCATTTCTTTTCAATTTCCTATCCTATATTTGAGTTTGCACCTTTCCTTTTCTTCCTCCTTACTTTTTTTCTATTTCCACCTTTATCCTAAGGGGTTTAGAAAACAAGTCTGTTAGTAAAAACACAGCTGAAAAGTACTGTCTGTCTTTCTATTAGTACTTCTGTATTATTTCCGTGTTTATGTCTTTTCTATCTACCTCCCACTTTCAATACCTTAACCTTTCTTTGGAAAACCTTTGGCAGCAACAACTGCTGAGGCCATCTCTACTGAGACCAGAGGTAGTAACTCCCTGTTTCCCCTAATTTATCGGAATTGCAGTCTTTCAATTGTGAACTTACTCTTCACTGTGCTGCTCCTATCTTCCTGCATAGGATTGCTGAGTAATTTCTCTGTGTGTATTACTGAAACACAGGAGCTCTCAATGGAGTCGGGCATCGACCCAGGCCAAGACTACTACACACAAGACTACTATAATTATGACCAAGGGTGAGCACACAGACAGCTATATCTCTCATTAACTCTTTATCTGCATGAGTTCATTAAGCAATCCTCAGAAGTTCTTCTTGGCAGGTCATTTCTTTCTGTATTTTTTTTTTTTTGGTGGTGGTGGGGGTAGTTGGTTTGGGGATTATCTTTAAATGTTCTCAGAAAATGAGCTCAGATTTTTCATTCTTCAGCTTGATACAGAGTACCCTCAGAGCATTTACACCCCTCCACCAAATGAGATAATTTACTATAGCCTGCCATACTTGGGCACCGAAACCTCTGAAAACATATTTCATTTTATTGGATGCAGGGTGTTTTGACTTGCCTTTTACATTGCCCATATGTTGTAAAGAAATGCATGAGCCAAAACTGCAGCAGATAAATTGTTATTCATAAAATACACCTGCTCCTGTCACAGGTGACTTTCACCACTTTGGGAATTACTTTGCAGATTTATCAAAAGAGGGAGGAACTTTTTCACATTACAAGCTTAGATCAAAGAGAGGAGATGCAACTTATGTTGGCTTATGTTAATTCTAACCGTCATTACTCTCCCGCTTATTTCAAAGTCACCTTTAGTAATTCTAATTATTGTGACTGAATCACATTGGAATCCATTTGCAAGGGCTTTGCACCAAATATATTCAGTGCTTTCACCTGTTTATTTAAAAAGTAGTAAGTATTAGTCAGTGAAGGGTAGTTAAAGTAGATCCTGTGATGTTTTCAAATTTGCAAATATGAGCACATTAACCTACTTGTAAGCATTTAATACAGCAACCAGCAGTGTGGGCTTTACTTGAAGATTTAAATGTTCTGAGGGTAGCTAAGAGACAAACTCCCTGGGGACTGTTTTTCTTGGGTCCCTTACTTTTTTGTACATATATCTTAAATTTCAATGGCTATCTAAGATTAAAGTTCTGCACAAAGTCATCTGCTGAAAAGCTGCCAAACTACCTCACATATATATTTTTGTCTTTTTGTTTGTTTTATTCTGTTTACCTCCAAGCATTTATCAGTTTTCTTGATGGCTATTGGAAAATCTGCTATTGCTTCAACTTGTTATAATTTCATACCTTGCACATAAAAAAAATATAAATACATAATTGACCTAATGAACCATACTTGTCGGCACTTCTGCTGTATATACTTTGTACAACCTTTTTTCTTCCAATGGGACAGTATCACGTATTTTTCTTGTTTCATTTCAGAAGTTTGGAGCATGCAGAAAGTAAAAGAATTTGCAATGTTTGTTTTTTTATTATTTTTTTTGCTTCCCAAAATATACTGGTACTTTATAACCCATGCACAACAAAAATACCTTCCTAGAGCCGTTGGAAGAGAAGGAGGCCCACCACCATCCTAGATCCTCCATGATGATTTTAAAATAAGCATGTTTATGTTTGTACAGTATAATGTTTGATACACATTTTAGACATAGAACTATTACTATTAATAGAATAATCATATTTAAAGGGATAGTTCGGTATTTTGACATGAATCTGTATCCATACAGATTCATGTCAAAAATACCGAACTATCCCTTTAAACTGTATGTGGTTTCAGTGTGTTCTAGTAACGTTTCACAACTAGACACAGATTGGCTGTAGATTTCACTATAGAGTTCTGATGAGAATATACTTTAGATTTTTTTCATTTTTTTATTATTCTTCAAACATAAATATACTTTATTACAATATTACTGAAGCAAGCAGTATTTTAAGTTTTAGGACTCAGTCAGAGGCTAAATATGCAGTCATGTCATAAAGTTTTATGGTTTCCTAGAGCATGTTTTCTGCAGAGAGAATACAAGAGAAAATAAATTATGAACGTCTTTGCAAACATAGATAAAATTCTAACAATATTCAATCTCCCCTTTTCTCTTTTTTGCGAACTGCTCTGCATTATGGCAGCATTATGCATTATTGTTGAAAGTTTGATTTAACTGTTTAATTTATTGCAGGGTGATGCAAATTATTGATGCGTATTTCAGGCAAAATGATAGTTATATTAAATGCCTTTTGTACCCCAATCACATATTTCACTATGTACTGTAATTTTACTCATGCATTGTTTGAAAATATCCATTCTTATCATTCTATTTCCTTGGCAGCTCATTTATTTTATATGGCCTCATCTAATAAGGTGTCTGAAAAGTTACTGAAATACTGTATATACATGGTAACCAGATTCAGATTTATCATTCATTGAATCAAATTCTATTTTACAAACTTTGTGATGTGTCGTTCTGTTCCATAAATTCAAAATGAAATACAGTAAATACTGTTGTTTTATCATGATAGTGGCAAGAGTAATTTCAAAAATCGCTCTACTTCTGTCTCTTTTTCTCAGATATGACTTTCCTCAGTATGGAAGTCGGAGGAGGCTGATATCCCCCATGTATGATGAATATGGTGAGGTGATCATGGAGGATGATGGGTATTACTACAGTCCACATGGCCAAGAGGTATTGCAGATCCTTCAGTATGAAACATATAAATATAGTGATAGTACTAAAAAGGTCAGCTAATACTCTCTGAATTTCCAGTGTATCATTACATTTATAAACCATGTGTGGCACACCAATATGCTGCTTATATCATCAGAAAAATTCCTAAATAAAATATGACTGTTTTAGGGCCGAGGCAGAGGCCGGGGTGGAATGAGAGGTAGAGGTCCACCGAAGAGAGTTGCATTTAGGGACTTGCCGGCAGAGGATGAAATAGTTCAACCTCAGCCAGCAGAGGAAGGTGAGCCTTCTAAGGCTGCCAAGAGATTGAAGTCTGTCATGAAACTCAGCAAACTCTTGGCAGCCAGCAAAGGAGGAGAGCAACCATCTGATGCCGGGACTTCTGGCCCATCTTCATGGAAGAAGGCCAAGATGCTCAAGATGTTTGGCGCAGGAAAGAAGGACAAGGATTATGCCAAACTGATGTCAGCCCGCCGTATTGACAGCCAGGAAAGTCTTACGGACAGACCGGCAGTTATTGGCCCAATAGATAGCAAGTCGGATGCTCGGAGCCGACTTAGCAAAGTTTTAAAGAGAATTACCATAGGCAACAAGTTGCAGGTCAGAAGGAAGTCACAGAGTAGTGTGAGTCATGGCTCAGCCACAGGCAGTGAGAAAGATGAAGAGGCTTCACAAGCAGCCAGTGAGGATGAGAGTAAGTCTAAAGTGTCTATTAGTGTGACTGAAAGTGAACCAGAAGGAGGTGCAAGTGGAAGCAGTAAGGAGAAGGATTCTGATGAAGAATCCTCTGAAAAGAGCAGTGTTGACAGGGATTATCTCAAAGTCGATTTAGACAGAGATGACACAAATGAAAGTACTGTGGACTCTGAGGAAGAGCCAGATGAAGAGCCAGGGGACTCTGATGAGGAAAGTAAGTCTAAATCTGAAGAGGAAACAGAGAAGGAATCAGGCAGTGAGAAAGACTCAGAGACTGAAAGAGAGTCAGAGTCAGAAAAGGAATCTGTGTCTGGGAAGTCTTCAGCTACAGGGAAAGAGTCAGAAACTGAGAAAGAGTCAGATTCTGATGAAGAGTCGAGTTCTGGTAAGGAAACAGAATCAGGGACAGGCACAGCAACAGAAAAGGAAATGAGCACAGAAAGGGATTCAGCTACAGAGAAAGACTCTGATGAAGAGTCTGAGGAAGATGAGGCATCAGAAAGCACTAGAGAGAGTGCCTCTTCTACTCACAGTTCTATGAGATCCTCAGCTGCTGAGACCAGCAGGAGAAGCAGTGCTTCTGGCACTGTTAGTGGGAGTGAAAGTGCAACTGAAACTGCAAGTGAGAGTGGCAGCAGGAGTGGTAGTGACAGTAGGAGTGGCAGTAGGAGTGGTAGTGGTAGTGGGAGTGGTAGTAGGAGTGGTAGTGCCAGAAGTGGCACACCTTCTTCTCGAACAAGTGCAGGCTCATTGCCAAGAACCAGCTTATCAAGGGAGACGTCAGAGAAGTCCAGCAAAGAACTTAGTGAGACTGAGTCAGGGACAGGGACAGCTAGCGATACAGAGTCAGGATCAAGGTCAGCAAGTGAACGTTCTTCATCTTGGGGATCTAGGAAGGAAAAAACAGCAACTTTAGACCTAAGTAAGAGATCATCATCTGGCAGTCAACATTCCTTTGGGAGTGATTCAGCTGGCTCCAGGTCCACCAGTGGAAGTAGGCGGTCTGTCCTGAGTCATGGTTCAGAGGGCACAATCACTGAGGAAAGTGAGGAAGAGGAGAAGGAGGAGGAGGAAGAATCTGGGACTGCTGACGAGAGCAAAGACTCTGTGAGTGAGGTTAGCGATGAATCGTCTTCCAGAAGGTCTAGTGTAGTGTCTGAAGATCCAGGATCTTCTGCTTCCTACCATGGTCAGCCCCATAGCTCTGAGATCAGAAGTACCTCTGAAGATACATATGGGGGACTGTCCCCAATCACTGAAGTGGATGAGGATGCCATCTCCTCTGATAAAGCGTCAGTCAGTACATCAAAGGGTTCAGAAGGCACAGAAGAAACATCAGATGGTGATTCAGAATCTGAAGGGAGCTCAACAGCCTTCTAGCAAGATACATTGTCCCTGTGAAGTAAGAGTGAATAAAATCAATTACCTTTGCATGGGAGTGAAAAAATATTGCTTGCCTCTACAGAGTGTTTCAAATGTCTTGCTTTTTCTCCCTTTCCCTGAGATGGAAGAAAACTAGTTTAAAGCTGCACATCATCTGAGTCTGACTCCTTTTTACAGCTTTGACTTTTTCCTCTCTTTGATGTTCTCAGTGTGTGTTCGTATTGGCTTTTTGTATGGCATTATTGTGCTTTTCTGCTATGAGATTTGGCACATTCTTTTACAAAATTTTTCCCTAAATGTTATAATTTTACCTACATAAGTGCTGTTTTCTTACTCTAAACTAACAGATGTTATCTTAATATGCACTTTGACATTTTATAGATATGTTGTGAGAACAGCCAAATGGGTGTTTTTTAAAGCAGATGTTTTTCTCATTTATCTATTTCATAGCTGTAGGTCATTAACATTAATTGCATTAAACTAAGACGATCCAAAGCATGAAAATATTATTAAGGTTCGAAATGTTAGGTTTTTTTTCCAAAACAGCTGTAGTTCATGTTTTTTGAGACACTATTAACCCTGTGGGAGGAAAAAAATGCCTAAAAATCTTCTCTGTTCGAGGTCATTTCTAGAATTATATTAGCATGACCCATGTGTGATTTTTTTTTCTTTATGTATCTAGTCCACATAAGCATACAAGTAACTGGGTTTTTAAAAACAAAAATCAAAAAATCTGCATTTTGGCAAGTTATTAATTTATTTTTTTACAGTTTTTCTTTATGTAACCAAAGCCTCTGTGATAATTTGGGCAGGAAGTCCAATTATAGGAGGACATCTTTGTTTAACCAGTTTGTATCATGTTTTTGATTCACCACTGCATGCTAGATTTGTAAACTGAAAATTATTTTTTTGTTGCTGTTCAGTTCTTGGTCAGAATTCTTGCAAATTATCTTGTTTATAATTCTGTGGCGAAAACATTACCCGGTGTCAAACAACTAAACTAAATGTGATTTGAGTTTGTTCTGGGGCCGCACTGTAGGCACTTTCTAACGTTTTGTTTAGTAATGTATTTCTGCATGAAATATGGGACCATCTCACCACATTAGTGCTGTAACTAACTATTATTTTGCAAATCATCTGTTAATTATTTTTTTCGATTAATCAATTAATAATCAGATATCCAAAGGTTCCTTAAAGAAGATTTAATTATGAAATTAAACCAGATGAAAATAAAACTTTTATACTTGAGGAGTTCTTGATAGAGCATATTGACAAAGTATTTTTTTCATCTTAAATTCAAAACTTGTATGCATACAATTTTGATATAATTACTGCTCTGACTGGGTCGCTTTGTCAGCTAAAGGCATGGTTTAGAGTCTTTACGCTCCAGTTAACGATTAGTTGATTACTGAAATAGATGAAGAATATTTCAACAAATGATTAATCACTATTAATCTGATTAACTGTTTTAGCACTGGACCACATATTATCTTTTTGTTTGATTTTTTTATTCCCATGGTCTTAAACAGGTAGGCAATGGTTTTTAAAGCCTAATTTGGGTACTCAACCAGATTCCTGATTATAAACAGCTAAGCACTATAACAAGCATTATGGAAAAACTGTGATTTCTTTACTTAGCTTATGTTTTCTGTATATGTGAAGACCTCTTCATTACAGTATACATGTATCAAAATTAAATCAAACAATCAATAAATGGTATTGACAATATATCCATTACATTTTGCTAAACAAACGAGGAAGCAGCAGAAATATTTTCAACTAAAATAAAGCAGTCTAATTGTTTATTTTAAATTACTGTGTAAGCCCATTGTTATACCACAAGAATCTCATACTACCCCATGTTTATTTGTACATTTAAATACATCTTACGTACTGAAAATTAAGTGCATCAAAAAGTGAACTAAGCTTTTGCCCTTTGAATGCTGTGCTGTTAAAAAATGTATGAACATTTGAAGTACGTGCAGTGTTTTTCTTTGTTTTTGTTTTGTCTTAACTACTATCTTTCATATCATCCATAAAGAAAATTGATCTCATCCTGTCTTTCTCAGCCTGGAAGAAAGAAGTGGATCAAGCTTGTGGTTGATAGGGAAAATGAGACAAGCTCTACTGGAGAGGAAAGCACTACAGAGAGCCAGCAGAACAGACTTCCCAACAGTCACAGTAACATCAACGGGAATATCTACCTGGCACAGAATGGCACTATTGTCCGAACCAGAAGACCAGCCCATCTAAATAACATAAAGATGGGCTCTCCATGCCGACTGAGTAAGCATTTCAAAAAACTTGACAGGTTAGGGGTGACCCATGAGGAACCCCCTCCTGCTGTTGGCAATGAAGTTTCAGAAAACAACATGGACAATGGAACAGGCTCGTGTTTACATTCTAACAAGGATGTAAACCTAAACACGCTGTCCTCTTGTGGTTCTTCTGAGTCAACCATTACAAATCTAAAAACCTTTGGCTCCAGGAGCAGTATTGCGAAGGCCCTAAATGACAGTGGGCAGTGTGTCAGCGAGGAGCAAGATACATCGGTTGACAACCACAAGATCAGTAGGGAAACACAGCAGCCACACACTGAGCACACATTATCAGATGAAGAAGAACTGTGGATGGGACCCTGGAACAACCTTCACATACCCATGACAAAACTATGACCAGGCAATGACAAAGTGAAAGACCCTTTTTGTTCTTTATCTTTATTTCCCATATGGTTTAGAAAATCAACATGTAATGTGTGCCTCTACTGGACAAGCTCCAATTACTGATAGGTGGTTGCACATATGGTATTTTTTTTAATGACAGAATGACACAATAAAGCTTTCTAGTACCAAACCTTTATTACTGGTAGTGCTACAGCAGATGAAGGCAACGAGTGCCTGAAACCAATTGAGAATCTCATTGATTTAAGCTTGACTATAATTTCAGCTCTTTGATAAAACATTTAATGTCCCTTTATTAGAAGTTGTTTGTTGTTTTAACTCTTAAACACAAGAGATATTTGGCCATCCCAAAGAATTATTTACAAAGAAATTTTGGTGATTATTGGGAAAACTCATAATCATGTAGTCTATGATAAAATCATCATATTTTGCTATTTGTGTTTAACTTGCAAATTACCAAGAATGTTTATTATTATGATTATTTAATGTTGTGATCACTTGGAAATGTTTTTAAAACTTTCTGAACAATATATATTAAATTATTTTTGTCGATTTTATATCTAGAGAAGTTGGATAACGGAAATATGATCTTACAGAATAAACATGTCTGCCGTTGCTGAATTTCAACAGTGAAGCATGACATTATAGTCAGTGTTTTTATATGAACATTTGTACTTACAGAATGTGGTATTTTCAATCCCTTTATGTGATGGAGATTCACTGTGTTCTTGTCATGAGTATGGAACACCAAAATTGATATCACACTGAACATTAAAGCTCTAATCTATATTTCTGTGTTAATAGAGTTGTTATTGCAAATAAATGCTGTTTCTGCACTGCACATAATGTGAAAATATATCATTTAAAAAGTTGCTAAAAGCTGTTCAAAATGTAGGCATTTTTTTAAAATTACTTTTTGAACAACAATAGTTTAAAAGATGACAATACATTATTGTTCTTAACGCAAACAGGCTCAGAAGAATAAACCTACTCATTTGAGTTGTCTTTTGCTAAAAAGAAAAAAAGTTCACCATAAATCCATATGGAGGTTTACCACCTTTTTGAGATGAGTGTGAAATTTCCAATTTTAAGTGCTCTTCCTTGCCTAATAAAGTGACAACAAATGAATAGGGTTTTATAATGCAATTAGATTTTAAAAGGCTAAAATGGGAATATTTCAGATAAACCAACATGCACTACTGGTTTATGAGAGTGGCAAATCAAACATGCATAATGACATTTACAAAAGGTTCCCTGCAGTCACTCAATCCTTAAGAATGCCAGTCAAAATTGCAGGCTTCAGACTGTTGTTCAAAAAAAAAGATCAGGCACTCAGAACCAGAAATGTTGAATACATTTTAAAATGTGTCAGCAGGAATTTATGTTCTCTCTGAAACAGCTATCCATTAATACAGAAGCCATCCAAAGGTAGGCTGTCAGTTAAACTGAAGTTTTTTTTATTATTTATTTAAAGGTTGATGTTATTAATTGGTGTTTTCATAAAAATATCTTTGTGTTTTTTTTAGTTGAAGTAAAATAAGATGTGAAATCTTAAGTGTTTTTATCTGAACATGTATTCACATTTAAACGTACAATGGTAATTTGTACGATTAAAGTAGCCCTTTATAAATTATTTGACCCATGTATTAGCATAATTTTAGATATCTAAAATAATTTTTCAGTCAATTTACAGCACTTATAGCGTTTCCTTTAGCGCCCCCCTCTCAAAAACTGGCCTATGTACCTCAAGAGGTACGCACGGCACTGCACAATGGCAGCCCACTGCCCCCCATGGGGATGGATTAAATGCAGAGAATTCATTTCGTTGCTCTGTACTTGTGACAGTGGAATGACAATAAAGTTTAATTCTATTCTATCTATTCTATTCTATTAAGAGAGTTACCTACAGTAGAATGCTACAGTCTCAGCGCCGCTTAAACATGAGAGATAGCAAAACACATACGGCGTTTAGCTGATTATACACATTTTAGTTCTCTAAAGTAGGGTTTAATCTAAAGGGGTGTGGCCTTTTCTTTATAAGTAGCTCTATGACTTCTTAATTTTGTGGTACAAAGTGGTCTTCTTATATATTCCAATACATGGAGGCAGAATTTTTACGGCGGTCATTTGACAATACAGTGTTCCCAGTGGCCTTGAGAGAGATGTTAAACCTGGGATTTGCAGGTCTTGCAGCCATGATGGCTCACATTTACACATTTGAAGCTACAGTGTGTAATAATTACAGGGATATACAGTCAGAAATGTAATATATTATACATAACTATGTTATTTNTCGTGGAAGACATTTTGTCCCGTAACGCTCGCCGTACTGTTAAGGGGGGAGAAGCGGTGGGGGGGGAGATGTTCATGTTGCTGCGGTCTGCAGTCTGGACGTAAGATGTCGCTGAAAATTACACACTGTAGCTTTAAGTTGCAATAACTGATTCATAGGTATTATGTATTATCTGTTTTATTTAGCACATGGGCTAAGTATCATACCTCACCCATTTTTACTGGGTCATCCATTAGAATAACTCTTTATTAACTCATTAACAAAGAAATAGCTACTGACTTTTTTGAAAATCACTAGAAGTTGCGAAATGATGCCGTTAGTAATTTTCATGTGCTTGCAACTGAAAGGACTCCAGCAGATGAAAAGTTTCTTGAATGTGACCACAAATGCAGATATTCATCTAAATATTTATAGGACTGCAAATTAACTTTTCACTGCCAATCCTTGCTCTGCTTTTGTTTTTAATCTCACAATCTTAAGCCTTTTTTCTTCATCTGGGTTTGCAAATGCCAAAAGTGGTTTGATTAATTAAATTTTTTTTATTTATTCTATTTTTGTTTTAAATTTGATATATGTATTTTTCCTAATTATTTGCATAGTTTTTTTTATTTTCTTTATTTGGTCATAAAATACAACACTGAAGCTTTGATTGACCAGTATGGGGAAGGGATTTTTCTTTTTTCATGCTGCCTCAGAGCGGACGTGTCAGTTAAAATAGAAAATGCTTATAAAATACGGACATGGTTATCTTTGGTTGAACATAGATTATGTTATTACTGACAAGAGGTGCTTCTATGGGTTCTGAACTAAATCAGTTCATATAAATAACATTTATAATACTGTTGGCTAGGCAAATATTTTCAGAAAAAGTCTGGTTGCCTCCAATTTATGCCTGTTTTTTGGTTTCACTGACCTTATGGATAAGTATGTGCACTGCCATTTATGAACAGTGACTCTTGTTTTAAACGAAGAGGTAATGCCCTTTAGAGGCCTAAAAGAATGAAAAGCCAATATTTCATTTTAAAATGAATGAGTTTTACTTTGGGGGGCATCTAAATATAAATTACTATTATAAGCCTCACGGTTTCCTAAAAACTTAGGTTTTTATCTTCCAAATGGTAGAATCGTCAGAAAATCCAAATCCCAATTCTATTTCTTTCACATTATGTCTGGGGCATATGGAGGTGATTATAAGATAACTTTAAAAAATTCCTGTTTTTATAATTTTTCACTGGACCATTGAAAAATGAAAAACTGCAGCCTTCCATTCGGGTGGCATTATCACAGATTCTCTGGTTTTTGTGTGGTTCTCTGCTCACAGAGGAAACAACAGCTTAGCACTTGCTGTATAAATGAACTCCAAAAGAAATGTTCCTCATACCAACCAGGCCAGACCAAATCTGTGGCAAAATGCACTGTGTACGAAACTGGCCATATGTGTTTCTGTGCATGAAAAAGGTGCATTAGATTGCATTCATCAAATGAGAACAGAAAAAATATGAGAAAACCTGTGTATGATGGCTGAAGCTGGAAGGGTGGCTAAGGTGGAACCAAATGGGACCAAATATTTGAGAGGGCCTAAGGCGTAACATATGTTACTCAGACATACTGAAGATTGCAGTCGTTCTTCTTACTTTACTCACACAATGGAGATATTGAGAAGTTTTCTCACTGATGCAGTTCCCATGGAACAAACAGGGCAAGACGTACTCTTAAGGATAAGCAGACAAGAAGGGTAAAGAAAAAAAAAGATAAAGTGGATTTATTTCTGTGTTATAAATAATCATGTTCAAGTTTTAGATGTGATTAACTGCACTGCTTGAGGATAAAACTTATTTTCAAGTCTATTGGATTTCATTTTTGAAGCTATGAATCTTTTCTCAGATGGAAGATAAGAGAAAACAATGTGTTTAAGGTAAGTGTAGCCTCTTGCAGTGAGATCAGCTTTTTTCTGGAGTTGGAGATCTAAATATCTGTCTGAGGGAGGCAGCTGTAATCCAATAGTAGTCTCGCTGCTCTCATCACCTGCCTCAGGTTTTTCCTGCTATCCTAATTGCAGCCAGAGAACCAAACACTACAACTTTACCACAAGATTCTCTCTATTACTTAGCAGTTAAGGTTGGTGAGCAGCCTGTGAGGAAGGTATGTTGGGTTTTCCGATTTCATGTCAGATGTGTGTTGCAGATTATGTGAGCAGCAGAGATCTTAAAACTCAATAACTTGTAGTTATCAACT